ATCAATGCATTGAGAATCCCAGTTAAACCTGTTGAGATATTGCCCATGTGCATGACTTCCAAGCTAACAAATTATCCACAGGTGTATATGTTTTCAGGCTCAGACTTTTGGGTTACCTCTTAAGACACCTGGTTTGTTTTTCCTGTTTCTCCTACCTGTGGTCTAGGGCTTGTGTAACATTATTATTATTATTCACTTTGTTCTTAAGATACTGGCATAGATACTGACCTCTTTGTTCCTGTATCTGAAAAACTGATCTTGCATTGCATTTAAAAGTTTCAGCGTAGGGCCCCAGTGATCAGGGGAAAAAACACATTTTCTTCACTTCATAAAGACTCTGATAAACAAAGTTGGCCTAAAATCTGCAGGTTGCTGCCACAACCCTTGTGTTTGCCGATATATGTAGCCGCTCCCCTTCTCTGAAACAAGCGGCAATTTGTACATACTCTTCACAGTTTGGGATGAAATTTTAATCATCTTTGCTACTTAGGCGTTTGCATACTGTGAGAACGTTACTTGTGTGCAGAACAGACCCAGTCAGAAATAGCTGACGTGGTGCCCGGTGACTACAACACATGGCCTAAAAATTGCCTCCAAATTGTGCATTTTGCTGTCTTGCAAGATTGAAAACCTCCTAGGGTTTCTCATAATTCTGTTACCCTGTTTTTTCCTCTCTCTGAGATACCTGGCAATCGTGTCTTGCTTGCTTGCTTTTTTCTTTCCTTTTTTTGCTCTGCCGATGTCTTTCCTTGTGCCCAGTCCTGTCACTGGTCGTCATGAGAACTAGTTTTTGTTTTGCATTTCATACTGCTCTGGAGTTTGTAAAGTAGTTTTTGGATAAATATTTATACTCATTAAAACAAAAAACAAAAAAAAAAAGGTGTCCTAAGCATCGCTTATTACCTTGCTTATACTGAAAAGTTATTCTCTGTGGTGTGCAAATTTATTATTTACAGCCTGTACAACAGCTGTCCAGTAAGAAATATTTGATTGGCAGCTGATAATTTGAAGCTGCTGTTTTCTTTCCTGTGTCTCAAATTCTGCAAACCCCTCCGGAGAGGGAAAATCTGCCGTGTGATGCCAGTCTGGTCCTTGCTACAATAGCAGCTGTGCTACCCAGTGTTCAAGATCCCCCTTGAACAATGTCTTACTCCTCTGCAGCCCTGCACGGCTCATCCTTGAGTTTTGGCGAAGGGGTTTGAGGCTGCTGGTTGCTTCAGGAAGGATCAGGTGATTGAAAGCAGCACCTCTGTGTGTCTCAGAAAAACTGCAAACAGCCCTTCAAGGAAACCTCTGCGTGCTGACCCTGCTCTGTGCTGCCTCCTCCTTTCTGCCTCCTTCACCTGGACCACAGCTAACACAGCAAAGCTCAGCAAAAACACCTGTATAGCTTGAGCTATACAGATGTGTGGTGATGGTGCTAAATAGCTCCCTGCTGTACCCTCCCAGCCCTCTCTGTGTCCAAATCCAAATTCAAGGACTCTCTGCACGTTTTCTCTCAGCGAGAAGGTTGCCGCATATGGAAGATGCACATCCTGAAGGGGACGGACGGGCTGGGAATCCAGATAACAGGAGGCAGAGGTTCGAAGCGGTCCCCTCACAGCATCATCATCACCCATGTGGAGGAAGGTGGCTCCGCGCACAGGTGAGACAATGGTGGTGCCTTCGCAGAAGTGGGTGTGATGGAGCTTCCATGGCCATCGCTGTTAGCCAGACTCATGAGACAGGTGTAGGGGTTTTGCCCTCCTGCTGTGTGAGGGTGAGAATATGGCATTTTTATCTTAAAAACTAATTTTTGTGATTGGTCACTGAAGCTTCTTATAGTATGTTTAGTCCAAACTATAGACAGATCAAACACTTGCTTGGTGTAAACCAAGGAGCCTGATGGCTTGTGAGGCTTTTTCCCCAAGTCCCTTTTTGGAAAACGGGCCTTTCCCATGGGATCGGCAGTGGGTGAGTGTGGGTCGTGCAATCCGAGGTGCTTATTGCCAGCACTGGCCCTGCTCCCTGGCACGGGGGGAGATGGGGCACACTGCTGCTCCCTGACCATCTCCGGTGGGTCACAGAGAAAGTTTGAGGGGTATCAGCCCTGCAAAGAGGGTGAAATGTCTCTGGTTATAACAATGATTTCCTGGGCACACCTTTCTGAGCCACTTCTTTGGGTAACTAACACTGCACCGATTGATGCAAGCTTAGCGTCAGCCAGGTCACCGGTTGTCCATGCCTCTGTGTCCCACCGTGTGCCACCAGAGCCCGGCACCGGGGAAGGACCGCCTTGCAGCTCCATGTTCCCACTCTGTTTCCACAGGGATGGCAGGCTGACAGCGGGCGACGAGCTCCTCATGATCAACGGGCAGTCGCTGGTTGGGCTCTCCCACCAGGACGCTGTGGCTCTCCTTCGCTCGGCTGCTGGCCTGGTGCAACTGGTGGTTGCTAGCAAGGTACAGTCCTCTCCTTGATGGTCTCCTGAATGTATGTTCACAAGACTTTGTACAAGTGCTGCGTGAAAAGGGCATATTTTTGGTAGGGAATCACATGTGCACGTTTGCTTACCTAAATTTAATGCACAGCTATGGGAAATGTATTGGTAGTTGCCATAAATCTGTGGCAAATCAGCAGCATATACACCAGTCTAGTGATTTGCTTGTATTGTCGCTGTTTTTCAGCATGTAAATAAGTCAGTATTTATTCATGGAGATGTTACTCAAGTTTTGGCCAAAACCGTTTTCTTAAAATACATGCTAAATAAAGCAGGCTGTCCTCAGCCTCTTCTGCTTCCTGCCTGCACAGCCTCTGTAGCTCTCATCTCTGGTGCTATCTGTGTGCCTGAGGTCTCTTGACAATAATCTCTTGGCTTGAGTTCCTTATTTTGTCCTTGTTAATAGCTTGGAGTGGAGCTCTTGCAGATAAAGGAGCATGAAATTTCAGGGAAATGAGAGTGGAACTCATTTATCGGTCGGGCTCTTCATTCTCCTTTAATCACAGGAGAGGTTCAGGGGGTATTACACAATATTTTGTCCTTTGTTTAAGAAAATTCTGCCTACCCCCATTTGCTCTCCTCCCTGGACCACAGCCTGCTGCTCCTCCGCCTGGGTTGATGCAGGCATTTGGTGGGCAGTCCTGAAAGTGCCTGGGATCTCAGAGAAGGACCTGCCTGCAGGAGGGGACCATCAGGGCCTTTGGGGTAGTGGCAGGCATATCTTGGTCCAAAGGGACCACTTGTAAACCTACATTCCCAGGTGGAGCGAGAAGTGTCAGCAAGCCACTGTGTCAGTATTTGTAAATCTTTTCTTAGCTTCATCTTTAGGTTGCCTCAGGCAATCTGATGCAGGTTTCTGTGGGTGTAACGTCTGGATGCCTTTATGGCTTCTCGGGATGCTTTATGCTCATGTTTTTCAAGAAGAGGCTCTATCCCACCATATTCAAAAACAAGAGCCTATAACTTCTCTAGTATTTCAGTTAGACAGTGAAGTTCATTGAAGACCTTCTGTAGGCACACAGCCTGGTGTTAACTAGACTGGTGTTTATTCTGGAAGCAACCTGCTTTGACCTGAAGTAGGTACATTTTGTATTTTCTTTAGACAATTGGACTTTCTGGCAAAACATAAGGCAGTAGACTGCATAAATTTCTCTTTAAAATTATTTGCTTGTTCATGTGATGACTGCATCAAAATAATCATTATGAATAAACCTACAGCACAGAACTTCATGTTCCTGATCAGGCTGTGAATCTGTTTGGCCCATGCTCTGTGTGCTTGGACCGTTTTCATGTCCCTGGGAGGAGGACTTGGAAAGGCAAGCGGTGGGGAATCCAGCCTGTGCTGTGTCTCAGGCACTCTCAGAAAAGGTGTAAATAGGTGAAGTGTTCCCCAGCAGCTCCCTCTGGGCGTTATTTGTTGGTATGGGAAAGCAGCCTTGCAGTTTAGCGTGGTGAGCTCTCTTGAACACAGGATTTGTTCTGAAAGCAATAAAATGAGAGTCTGTCTGGCCACTGCTTTCAGCTGATGCACGTGTTTGCCTCCTGGAAAAGGTGCCAAAGACTGTAAACAGATCCTGAAGCATCAGGACGTGAGTTGGTAGGGGATCGGTGGATCAGTGTTCATTTTTTTTCTCCTAAGTAGGGTTGTCTGTGTATTATTCTTACGCATGTAGATAGATAAATGTGTGAAGGGAACATCCGCAGGGAGGGAGCAGGAGCACAGAGTGTCATTTGGGATGCAATGAAATGAGTAATGAGGTCTGTAAACTCTTGTGTCTGCTTGCAGTGACATTTAATAAACCCAAAGTGGGGAGGAGCAGGCTGCTGTGGAAGCCTTTATTTTAAATTCTCCTTTACAATATCTGAATGTTTTAGACATGTATTTGCCTGTGTTTACTATATATGCACTTTAAAACCAGGTCTGCTTTTTATAACTGGACCATTAAAGTTTGAGCACATGGGAGTGCATAACAAGGGGAGGATTGCCAGGGAGCTCTCACCTGGGCAAGTGAAATGGAACAGTTTCACCATGACTTTGGTGGTTTTCTGCACGTGATGTAACATATTTTGTTGTCTCTCTGGTAGGAATCTGCTGAAGGGGATTTTCTGAAGTATCCATCTACCAGTTTGCCAGACTTGCTTAGCACTTGCTCAGTCCAAGACTCTGTCTCTTGCACTGACAATAAGGAAAACGAAGAGCCAGAAGAAGAAGATGTGAAAGGAGTGAATGTGTCTCCTGAAAAACTGGTCGCTGTAAGTGTGGCTTTGGTGTGACGTTTTTACTCTCTCCCTTGATGCCAGTTTGCATCTGTCACGTTCTCCTACAGCCTGACACGGAGCAGGTCCCCAGGATGGGACAATCCCATCCAGCCCTTCTGTGCATGGGACGTGGGTGACAAGTTGAAATGGGGATGGTGTCTACCACAGCATCTGCCATCTCTGCTACTGTGCTGTAGCAAAGCAGCAGCACAGGGAGCAGGAGCTCTCGTGTCCTCCAAGCTATGTGGCAATCATGGTTTTGTTTTTCTCTCTGCCTTTGGATTGTTTTCCACCCACTTCCACTGCTTTTGTTGGATCTGATGCAAAGTCTCTCGCTGTGCTTATGTGTTAACAAGCTCTTCATTCCTCTCATTTTGTAACTAAACTTCTTTAACAGTTTATGATCCAAGTCTTCAAGTTTTTATTTGCTCTTTTGAAGCCAACAGACAAATTTGGGGGGAGGGATATGAATTTCTGGCTGTGAACCATTACTGAAGTTCTGCTGAATAAATGCTGCTGGTTGATAATCTCACTTGTATTCCCTTCAGGGCTGCATTAAGCAGAGATTAAGTGGATTATTGTTATTTATTTGTAATGTAGCAGCTCTCTGAAATTTCATCGTTGTTCTGGGCCTATGTTGTATTGTACAGACAAAGAATAAAATGATGTTTGCTACTCTAAAGAGCTTGCAGGCTGGTTTTCCAGAAAGGGAAAGCAGGTGGATTCACTTGAAGCTTTTATTGTTTTTTATTTTCTCGTCTTGTCTTTTTCCCCCCCTTTTCTGCAGCAATTCTAATAAATCTCTTAAACCTTTGGATGGCTCAGATGTGATACTGGTTTAGTGATTTGTTTTTATTTTGTATTCTTATACTTCCCATTTCTGAGCAAAAGACCACTCCCTTGGATGAGTCTTATGCTGTAGTCTAGCTGAAGCTGGTGTTGACTTCATACCTGCCTGTTATCTCTGACTTTCTTTGAGTCTCTGCTTATAACAGTCCTCACTCCCACACACCTATTTACTGTGACAAGTTTTGTTATTTCTGTACTGTCTTCTCTTCGATGTGACAGGGTGCCTTTTTGGGGGGAGGAAGGGAAAAACAAATAAATCAGAGATGCTTAGCATGCTGATGACGGTGTAGTGTTTGTGTGCTAACTTGAGTGGGCACCTAAGCATTCTTTTGGCTATCAAAATACTTCAAATTCTTCTATGTATCATATTTAAAATTCTGGTAATTTTTTGTGAGGCTGTGGCTCAGCAACACTTAAACATAAACCCCAGTTTTGTCAAAACTTAATTATGTCTGACTTCAGGATTCATCTCCTGGGCGTTCCAGTGACTCTATTTTAGCAATCGGTAGGAGCTGTTTGTCACTTGATTTGCTGCTGACTTTCCAGCAAGGATCTGCCTGGTTTTCAGTGGTGGCTTTTTTATCGGGTGTTTCCTTGCCCTATTAACATAATGCTAGGGGAAGCTCGAGGGAGCTTGAGGTGCACACTAGTGTGAAGACCCAGCCACATGAGCCTGCCCAGAGCCCTTCAGCAGGGACCTGGGTTGGGAGGCTGCCCCAATGTCCGTCCCAGTGCCGCTGCAGTGGGCAGTGGTGGTAGCCTAATTGATAGCCAGTTTGATTTGCCTGCCTGTTGGCACTCTCACCCCTAATGGCAACAGCTCTGTGCTTTTGTAATGCATTGCTGGGGATGGAGGGGAAATCACAGAAATCTGAGTACAATAAACACATTAGAAGAATAGCAGCAAGATTTTTTTTTTCTTCTTTTTTCTCTTTCTACTAATCTTGTTGTTGTTGTTGGAGGGGATGTAATTGAGAGGAATGTAATAAGTTATTGGTGACTCTCAGGACCTCTTCTTTTTTTGCTTGAGCTGCACATGAAATCTTTCCTCTTCTAATCCAGAGCAGAACATGTCCTTGCATTCCCCTTGTAACTGCTGTCTTAGCCTGGGGAGTGCAGACGGGGCTCTCTGCAGCCTGGGGTGGACAGTCTGTACAGTGTAGACCCCTTGGCTCTACCTGCAGCCTGATGCATCCTCATGAGATTAGGGCAGCCTGAGCTGAACTGGGCTGTGCAAATCCTGAATGCCACCAGGCAGGACGTAGGAAGGTAAATGTACATAAAAGATAAATACATGTGACTTTTTTCCACCTGGCAAGGTGGGGGGGACTTTTCATAGCAAAGCTTAGAAACTGAATTCAAGGTCAGTATGAACATGAAGCATCACATGATTTTATTAAAAAGTAGATATATGTTTACAGTCATATAAATTATTGCAAAATTGCTTTGGAAACTACTGTTCTTTGTTGGTCCCACTCTCTTGATGATACTCATGTGTTTTCTCTTTCTCTCATATATTCCATTATACTTATGCTGTAGATAAGGGTTGACAGTGTGACTGATGATTAAAGCAAGAACTAAGCTGGACCATTTTTAATTAGTGCAAATATAGTTGTTTTAGAGTTCCATGGTGGGTGGTACTTGAGGTCCGAATCAGGTAACTGAGCCTGTGGTCTCAGTTTAAGTGTCAGACCTGTTAGATGTGAAACCAATTCTTAACTCAGTTCTGGCCAGGAGTTAACATTTCTCACCAGCAGTTTCTCACCTCTGACAAGAGATTAATGGATTTTTTAGTTTACTGTGCAGGGCTTTGTAGATACTTAAAGGGGTGCTGTCAGGTGCTGGGTGCTTTGCTAATAACAAGTAATTCAAAGTGATGTATCAGCAGAGGCTTCACTGTCCCTTTTCTGACCAGCACAGTGTATGTCTAATTCCTGAGCAACTGTAGAAGATACTACGGAACTTGCAGGAGCTCTTAGGGTTGTTTGAGGTCTTCTTTCATTAACTTCATTGTGAATATAGTTCAGTGCTGGGTATTCAGAACCATAATTTATAGACATGATGGACTTGCTGTTAATGCCTTAGCACCTGATTGCTTGAAGGCTTAACCAGGCACAAAAAATAATTACTTGGAACTAATGTGTCTATTCAAATCATCATCCTTGTAGTTATTTAGAACTCAGCTGGACCAGGCCTTGAGGAACCTGATCTAAGTTGTCTCTGCTTTGAGATGGGGGCTAGGCCAGGCACCCGCAGAGCTTCCTGCCAACCTGGCTTACTCTACAATTCTGTGAAAAACTAAAAAAAATAAAAATAAATTTAAAAAAAAAAATCTTTTTAAGGAGCTGGGTGTTAAAAATATTCCCTGTGAGCAAGTTCTTTAAAACTCTTTAAGTTCTGCTCCAGGGTTTCCAGCCAGAAACATAATCTGAGCTAGCTGGCTTCCCCAGGACACAGCAGAAGAGTTTAGTGACACTTGAAAACTGTAATTTAAGAGAAGTATCACTTGTAAGCCTTACTTGAAAAGCCCCTTGCTGTGTTTCATTAATAAAAATTCCATAATACAATTTAATTGGAGCTCTGTTTTTACACAGTCTGCTTATATAAAGCCCTGTTTATGTTTAACGTGAAACAACCCTTAAAGTTCTAACTTTAATAAAACTTGTGCTTCCAGGCAGAAAAAGGATTACGTTAATATCCTTAAAGTGCATTTCTTTCAGAGCTAGTTTTGCCAAAATGTTCCTTAGCTTCAGATACAAAATACTGGGCTACAGAGTCGTGTTGTGCTAAATTGTCCTGAGGCACTTTGGGAATTTTAAACTCTTCCGCCAAATCCATATTTTGCCTTGTGCAGTTGACGTTGGTATTGTTTTAAAATACTATTTATGTCCAAGGGAAATAGGGTGCTATGATAGTATTTGCCTTTGACAATTTATTTTTAATTCTAATTCACTTTTCCTGAAGTGAAATTGAATCTGTCACTGTATGGCTGGCTGGTGGAGCAACCTGGGAAATGAACTCTAAAAAGAAAGCAGGTCTGCCAAGAATTTGCAAAGTGTCTGATGAATTAGAGGCATTTTGGGACCCCAGATAGAGGCATGTGCCATTCTTAGTGGCTTCAAAAGTTTGCCTATTTTTCTGGTAGCGCTATGTTGTTCAGTGTATGGTGATCTGAGTACTTTATTTATATACTTCAGTGACCAGCTTCCTATCAATGGCTTGAAATTCAAAAAAAGTTATGAAACACAAGAAGACGGTGTCTACCTTGAGAGGTTTGATTCTGTTGTTGCTAGAGGTGGGAAGGGAAGGCCGGGGACTGTTCCTCGTACTTCACTTAATCTTGTGCTCTCCCCTGGGTATCTGCTGCTCGTGATGCTGGAGGCAGGACCCTGAGCAGAGTCTATTCCATGCAGAATAGAATTGTACAAAAGTCAAATTTCTTATTTGGAGAAGGAGGTCATTGTTAGCCCTACTTGCTGGGGGGGAGCTGGCAGGGGAGGGGATTTGCCTCCCCATGCCCAAGCTCACCATGCAGGCAAGCCCGGGGGACACAGCCTCTGGCAGCATCCCCAGCTGCGTCAGCCTCTGCTCCTTTTGCTCATATTTAATCATTTTGCGTTGACTTGAAGTACTTGATGTGTACCTTCACGTGAACTGTGGGCACATTGCATGCGGAGGTGACCGTGACCCAGCAAGGTCTTGATCCTCCTACAAGTAACAGAAACAGGATGTCTCCGGTTAAAGGTTTCTTGCATGAGCCTGGTTTCCTTATCCCTGACAAAACCCACTTGTGTTTTTTGCAAGACATTTAGCTGAAAGTGGGTAAATAAACCTGTTTTGTGAATACAAAGAAATGTATTTGTTTAACCCCCTTCCCTCCCCATTTTTATTTTTTATCTGAGCCATAGGACTGCATAGTTATTTTCTGTTATGAGCCTTTCTGTCTTACCAGGGAATCCATACATAATTACCTGTAGCCATGCAAGCGTAATAAGGAAGAGGATAACAATGCCATAAGTTTAAAAACACTTTTGGGGTCAAAAGTTCTTCTGGAAACACTGGGAGAGAATTTCAGAGAAAACATTAGCACTGAGAAGGAACAGGAAGCATAACTCAACAACTAAATGTGTGCAGAGCATGGGGAG